GCTATTAGGGCCTTGTGCAATTTCGTGATGTAAGTATTACATTTTTGTCTTTTCGTATTTCCTTCGGTTCTCGTCAGCTTAGCTAGTCCGCTTGAATTTATGAAGTTAACAGCAAAAGGTAAGTTTATGACTCAAACTTGTCTCTTCAAACAACGATGCTCTGAGACCTGCCGTTGTGCTAGCGTTTATTGTCTGAACAATCTGGGAATAACTAAGCAAAAAAGTGAAATTTCTGACGCGATACCTAACACCTGACATATGGTAACTGATGTTTTCTTTCATCAGCTGAATCCAGACGTGAATGCTTTTCAGCGCAAATTTGTTAATGATGTCAGGCGATGTGAAGAGATGGAAAGAAAACTAAGTAAGCTTATTGTAAAGCATGATATGTATTTGATAAAAGTGTATAAATGATGTTTATTTGATAAAAGAGTATAAAGGATATTTTTAGCCCTTTTAGCACGAAGCGTGGCCATGCTCCTGAACCAATAGCCTGCGAGCAGGTTCACTTGTTGTTTGGGAAGCGTATTGCGGGCAAGGGCGGTGGAGCTGCAACCACGAGGTGGCGAAGCCGGTGAGAAGAATCGGGCGAGGAAAAGTGAGCCTGCACGTGAGCTGTTAATTTTTTAATTCTGCTCCTTGCGAGGTGTCATGTCAGCATTTCGTATTTGTCAGATAATATCCAATAGGAGCAAAGCAAAATGTAAACAAACATGACAGTGCATTGCACGTGGAGAATTTCATAGAGGATGGTCAAACTTCTTCAAGGATGGCACAGAAACCCCGAAGAAAGCTGTGAAGAAAAGCGTGAATCGAGTGAACGATTCCTGCTGAATATACAAAATTAATGTTCTTTTAATATATAAGTATGGAACAGGAAAATCTGGTCGTATGTCCACACAAAATTCATATATAGCCTCAGATCGCGATGGCAGCAGTGGTGAAGTGTTGGTCTCGATGTCTAAGAACATTGGTGTTGTATTCATTAAATCCCCAAGTTTGTCTGTGTGAATTTGAATGCAAGTAAGCAAACATGTTCATAGTAAATTTCATATTTTGTCCCTTGAAAACGAATACTTGGAGACTGAAAAGTATATCTTGCAATAAAAATGAGCCTAAACAATACATAAACGCATGGCAAACTACTGAGGTGTCAAACTTTACAAAGTGAAACACAGATAACGGCGGAAATCATGGAGACCTATGACCTCTAAAACTTTGCCACAGCACGGTCTAACAGCTTAACTGTACTTTAAGGTTACCGTATACCTTCAGATCGACAATTTTCTTCAAATTTGGATTTTTGGGTCAAAGTAATGGTCGAAGAGTGATCTCTAATTTCTGAAAAAAAATTGAAAAAAACTAAATATTGGCGGAGAAATGGAGGTTTTACGTTTTGGCCGGAAGTAAAACTTCCCTCTTGATTGACAGCCCTATAAAGTGTATGCAATCAACTGAGACGACTTTCGCGGGCTATTTGGATAACACAAATTGGCTGGCTACTCACCTCTACTTAGTTGATCAGCATTGTTAATCCAAGCATTTTTCGTATTAGGTGTAATTCTATTAAGTTATAAGTAAGCATGAACCACGGAAAACTCTGTGGACCAGTTCGAAAAAGTGAAAACAGTGAGGAACGAATGAAATACATCTCGGAGTGAAGAAGTGAAAATTGGCCTCGCGGATGAAGTTATGGCTATCGTAACAAGCAGGCAAAAAGATCGAGTCAAGAGAAGAGAAAGGTTCTGCAAAAATTTGGGAACTTGACAGCAATAACAGCGATTATTACAGTGACTCTTCTGTTGAGTCCAATACCGATGAATTGTTGGGCTCATTGAGATCCATTGGAATATTATCCATGCACATTTGTTCCGCTGCACTTTCTTTTGTTTGTTTTCTTTGCACAGCCACTCTAGTGTTCGTATTCTTTTTCGTCTTCCCCATTTTGCCAGACCAGCTTCAAGAAAAACCGAGCTACAGAATTGAGTGCATTGCAAAACACAAGGGTGTTCTGGAGATTTGTGGGTAAATTTCACCGCGAGAAAAAACTTTCCAAATGCTGATTGGCTCAGTGATCTGACAACCCTGTTGAAGGTGTTTGTGGGCGAAGTTTGTTTGCGAAGTAAGAGATTTTTCTTAGTGCTGTTTTCTCGAATAAATTTTTTCGCTTGAAGCAGACACTTTAAAGAGTTACAACTCAAAGGGAATTTCTTCAATTGCCCTCAAATTTGGACAGTAGCTAGATTAACATATAATAAACAAAAATGTGTCTGCAAATTGTTTATTTCGAATTTTTTTTTCTCAGAGAGCGATTTTTGTACGATCACTTCACATTTTTTAAATCGAGTTTCGAAAATGTTCTGTAACTTTTTACTGCAATTGAATATGGCAAAACGCAGACATGCTATTTTAGCGCTTTTTGTCCCTAAACCGGGGAAAAAATTAAATTGGCGGAAAACAAAATTTGCTTTGACTTGTAGCTTCCAAAAGGTGATTAGGGCGCTTGCATTTAGTGGTCCTGAAAAAATCGGCAATTCCTTTCATTTCAAATTTCTTGGTATAGTTTGATAGCCAGCTCTATAAGCTTTAATTTGATATGGGGGTTTAGGTATCTACCACTTAAACCGGACGCGCTACATCACTTGGACGTGAGACACCCCTGAAGATATACGGTAACCTTAAATTCCTCCTTATAACACAACATGAAATGCCCTTCATAAACACGAGTGAAGTGATAAAAAGGTCGAGTGACTGAACAGAGAACGGCAAATGTGCAAATGTCATGAACCGTATATAGACGTCGTGTAGGCTAGTGAACCCCATTTTACATTAAAGGCAATGAATACACATTTGCATGTAACAGTAGTTTTGCAGGCTTGTCACAACTTTTTAATTACCAAGAGATTGTCCTTCCTTAATCTGGTCTTCAATCAGGCTTATCAATGGGCAGATAACTAAAATCACACTGTTCGGATATGCTTTCCTTCTGAAGTCTCCTTTCGTTTGATTGCTGTGGAGAACAGCTGAAAATAAAAACTCTCACCGAAACTGGTCAGCATCACAGGGAAAACATCCCTCCCTTCCAGTAAACAATTCACAGCTATTCTCTTCTCGTGTTTTATGTATTTCAAAACTTAAGTCAGAATCAACCGAAAGCTTGAGGAACGCTCCTTGAACAGAGTCCACAGATGTCATCTTGGAAGTGTCAAGTGAAATGCACTAAGGTTGCACTGGATTCTGTAGCCCGTCATTTTTAACCAAGCGGATCACTGCGTTCGTCAGCAAACACGGGGAATTCAAAAATCAATAGCTCGCGTGCAGGCTCACTTTTCCTTGCCCCATTCTTCTCGCTGGCTTTGCCGGTTTGCGGTTGTGGCTCTGCCACCCTTGCCTGCGATACGCTACCCAAACAACAAGTGAGCCTGCTAGCAGGCTGTTAAACCAGTAGGCCAAAGTGCCGCTAGCACTAAGATTTTGTTCTAGTGGCAACTTTCTTCAAGTTATCAGCAATTCAGTTGGAGTGAACAGGGCCACAGTTTCATGGGCAGTTTTATTTTTCGCCAGGGAAGCCATTTGAAAAGTTAACAAAACTTTCGTGCAATTCTGTGACATAAAATAGTGTAAGAATACATCATAATCAATTAAAATAATCCACTTAATGCGTAATTGCGGATTAGTTAATCGGCAGATTAATCTCCTTTTGAGCAACGGTTTTCTAACCCCCAATTAGCTAACCCACGATTAAGAAATTTAATCACCGATTAGGCTTAATCGGAGTTTACTTTAATTGCGGTTTTGAACAACCAGGCCCAGGACTCCAGACCATGCAGTCTGGGTTAGAACCCTGGCCAGTGTTATTGTGTTGTTCTTTTGGGCAAGACACTACTTTCACAGTGGCTCCCCACTTTCAAAATGAGTACCAGGGATTGGAATTAAATGTTACATTGTAGATTGTTACCCTACAATACTAGAATACCATTCAGGAGCCATTAGAGGGAAAAGAGATACTATTCAGTGATCTTGTAAATGGTTTTACTTGAACTCTGTGGGAATATATTCAGTAGTTTATTTAGTGTGATGATATGTACTTCGAATGCACTTCTGGTGACATGCATGTAAGCAGCATGTGAACCATCGTGCCTTGCAATCTTTCGTATGTAGTTCCTGCCATGTTAAATAATAAAAAGAAAACAAGAAGCTCCATCACCTCATGTTTAGCCCGCAGCTATTACATGGTGTCAGAAGTAAACCAAAAACCTCGGAAACATGGCTTTAAGCAGCATCAAATGCCTGGTTATGCAGTGGGAAGGCGACAACCCAAAAGAAAACTGGCGGCATTTCAAGCAACATGTTGAGCTGATGTTTACAGGACCTCTCAAATCCAGGACAGAAGAGGAGAAGTGCAGCTCTTTGCTTATCTAGGTCAGTCAGAAAGGAAGGGATATCTACAACATGTGGTCTGACATCTCCGAAAATGGCCGTAAGAAATTAGGAACATACTATGAACGTTTTGAGAGTCACGTAAATCCCAAAGTAAATCCTGTTTTCGCCAGGTTCAAATTCCACAGTTGAGTCCAAGACTCATTCAGAAACAGAAGAGAAATTCATTATGGCACTACAAATCCTAGTCCAAGATCGCAATTTCAAAGACCCGAATAGTCTTCGGAACAAACTCACTCTAAGTCAGAGAAAAGTTGAACTCAAAGGGAGCCAAGCCAATGCTGGATAAAGCTGTAGAGATTGCAAGGTCACATGAGTCCTCTCAAGCCCAACTCACAGCCATGGCAGCTGAAACCACAGATGGTTCCATACACTTAGTACAGAGACGGAACAAAGAGAAAGGGACACAGGATACCCAGCACCAAAACCACCCTCCACCAAATCAGCTGTCTCCATCTTTCAAGCCTCCAAGGGGAATGAAAACTTGCAGGAACTGGGGTTGCCCTCACAATGCATCAGCCAAATGTCCAGCACGTGGCCAGACATGCCTCTACTGTAAATTAAACCACTAATTTGCAGAAGTCTGTCCATCCAAGGCCCGCAGGCAACGGATTCACGCTATAGAAGATTCAGGAGGTTCTGCAGCTCCAACATCCTTCGAATCCATTGTTTTTGAATCAGTCACCATAGCAAATTTAACATATGGGAAACCAGAGTCTAGTGCAGATGAAGTATTTGTATCCATTCAAGTAAACCTGGTACAGAGAGATAACAGGAAGACCACACTAAGAGCCAAGCTTGACACTGGGGCCCAGGGCAAGATACTACCAGCTTTTCCAATAAGAGATGTACCCACATCAAGTGGACAACAATGGTAAACTCTAACCCAATGCACTGTTGTCGTCGAATGTTGTGCTCACCGTCTACGGAGGCTCGCAAATTAAACACCAAGGCATAGTCACCATACCCTGCACTTATGAGCACACTCGCACCCTTTTACGTCACTGACATCCCAGGTCCTGCAATCATTGGCCTACCAACCTCCACTGACCTGAATCTGCCACAGTTCAATTGTGCTATACAGAAACAACATCCCCAAACTAACAGTCATGGATGCCCAAAGGACAAGACTCTTGAGCAAGTCAAGGAAACCATCCTGATAAGAGACAAACAGGATCTGATTACACAATACCCTGAGTGTTTTAATGGCATCCAGAAGTTTCAAGGAGAGTAGCACATTACAGTCCCCAACCACAATGTTCCACCAGTGATTTATCCTCCACAACACATGCCAAAAGCAAATAAGAAGCTCTATTGCCTCCTGTTTAGCTCGCATTTATTACATTTAGTATATATGCTAATCAAGGGGAAGGTAGTCCTGAAAAGGACTGTTGCTGGTGACTGATTTTTTGACAGTTTCAAGCCAGAGAGAGTGATGAAACAAACTTTGGGCAAAAATGGTGATGACGGAGTGACATTGCTGAACATCATCAACTGACAAAGCACAGATTTGACTGTGACTCTACTCGATGCTTGACCTACAGAACAAACTTACTATTTTCAGTAACTGACTCTGGAAAGCTGGCACAACAACTTGGAACAAATGCCTCTTAACAGATGTCAACAACTACCAGAACCTTAGCTTACAGATGACTTATTCACCACATTTAAATGAAACCAATCAATGGACCTCAAACGGAATGCCTTAATATGACTAACAGTGGAGGGTTTAAAACTTAGTGGAACTGACCAATGACTGTCAACAAACTTTTTACTAATAATAGTCAAGATTTAACAGCCAACACTGTCACAGCTAAACTGGCCAATCTATTTCAACAGACCAGCCTTATAACACTGTCAACTGACAAACACTTTTCGCTTCGACTCTGAAGATCACCCCCACCTAGCTGGTTGTCAAAATGTCAGCCACCCACAATGTTTTCTGCAGAACTACCTTGACTGATCACATTATTCCAACTCTTGGCTAGTAGGCTATAAATTTCTGCTCATATTATGTTTTTACAATGTGCATACTGTACTCATGATATGCCAATTTTGATAGGGTTTCTAGACAAGGAAATTGAAAAGGCTGATATACATGTCAGGGATGTTGAAGAAAATCCAGAAGCTCCCCAGCCACGAGAAATGATTGACCTTGAGGTTGGTATATAGGGAATAATGCATGGGTGCACGCAGATATGGAATTTCTCTTTAAGTGTAAGTGTTGACACCTCAATATCTCACGAGTGAGATACATGTAATTATACTGTATGTGTGATGATAGACCTACGTGCTGTACATGTATGCATGTTACTAGACTAAAATCAGTCCTATTTGCTTAGTTGTATATTTATTTGTATTGTGTATATATATAGGAAGCCTTTAGTAAGTAAAATCTTATTATAGTAAGTGTTTGTACAATGTATGCAGTCTTGTGAGAACCATTTAGTTGTTTACAATTGCACTTGTTTTTGTCTTTTAGGCTGAGTTTGAGCAGCTTGAACATGAAATGAAAGACAGCAATACAAATTATGAAGCCCTTATGACAAGCGTTTTGGAGCTGTATGAACTCAAACATATACTGAGCAAGACACGTATTTTCTTTGAGGAGGTAAAACTCAACTTTGACTTGACAACTCTAGTATTTATCATGGATACTGTAGTTATCATGGCAGATTGAAATTATTCTGTCAGTATTTCCAAACTTCAAATGTCTACCTTCGTACAGTGTGTAAGTTGTTTTTTATTTTGCTCAGGACTACTGCAGTAGATGTTTCACAATGTACATGAATTCGTAAGGACATTCGCACAAAAATTTTCCAGCTGATAGATTTTTAAATTTTTACTGCAGTGAGATGATGAGTTACTTGTGTCAGAAATGCAAAAAAAATTGTGGGTCACCAACTTCGTTTCAGGAATAAGGCATGTGGGAAACTACCCTGATTTTGAAAAATTGCCGTATGTAATTCAGCATGGTTAAATATATCGTAGGTGAGTCAACGGAGGCAAATGATCTTAGCCATATTTTGTAGAAGTGAGTCTGTTGCGTTAATAATTCCAAATGTTACCAGCGTTTTCACAGCACTTAACCCTTCAAGACGCATTTGAAATGGTCACGCAGATAAACGAAGAGCTAAAAAGAACAGAATTTGATGGTGCATTTTGCAAAAAATTCTAACTTCTAATTGATAGATTTTCTTCAATTTTTCGCTTAACATAGAAAATCGGTAGAGAAAATGATCCATCAAAAGAAAAAATAGGGGTCACCAAACGTCCAAGATTGTTAAATGCGGGCAAAGCTATAGCAATGGCCATCTGCCCTGTCATTGTTCATTGTATTACTTAGCACACGCTCATGCATGACGTGGCATGTGAATTTGCATGCGCAGTAAGGATGCACAGAAACAATTAACGCGAACGTCCTTAAATTAGAAACTCTCTTTTCAACCACCTGTATATCAAGTCTGCGCCAGGCCAAGTGGTCCATACCTCCAAAGCTAATTCTGATTTCCACTGCGTGAAACAACCAGGAGTATTTCTATTCCCTCCTAAGGTTACCCCAACATTTGATTCCTTGGGACCCATTTATACCCGTGGGAGGAGAGAGGTAAGTACTGTTATCCTGTGAGCAAGCTCTTCTTTCTATGTATCCCCACATGAAGCCTGCTTGAAGGCTAAGGTATATGTATTGTGGGAGTAAAGTATCTTGCTCAAGAACACAATGGAACTACCCTGGCCAGGGCTTGAATGCAGACCTCTTGATCTAGAGTCACATGTCCTAACTACGAGGCCATGGCATCTCCCATTTTTTCCTCTTGACACTTAAATTATTCAATGAAATACAGTCAAACCTTTGGTTGCGACCACCTCTCCTCAGCTATCAGTTGTCTAAAATACAGAAGTTTCCAAGTCAAATCACTATATTTTGAACCTCTTGTAAGCAACCACCTCTCATAAGCGACCACAACCACGTTTAGAGCTAAAAGTTTGAAATTTTCTTTTGTTTTTAACGTCCTGTAAATGACCACTTAACAGATAATAGAGCAGAAATTGGATAATAAGGTGTTTTATTATATGGCTGTGTCTCACAAGGACTGGGAACTACCGAATTCATGAATTTGATTGGCTGAAATCGATATTGACCGCGGTCTAGATTTTCCCATCTAGACCGGCATCTGGACTGGTTTCATTTTGCGTTAGCAGTAGCAAACTAAAATTAAAAAATGTTCAGTTTTCTTTTATTTTCTTCTCAATCATTTATGGAAGTGGCAAAAAACCTGATGACAAAAAAAAAAACAAACAAACAAAAAGGAAAGAGGACAAGCAAACTTTGGCAGGTTTAAGTTAAGCTCATTTCTGTTTGCAAGCAAAAGGTCAGCAAACCGGTTACATTAAACGAATTAAAGTTTTTCTTCTTTGGTCGTGTGTACAGACCTCGGTCAAGATTCTCCCATACAGACCTCCTGCTTGGTTAATAAGAGCTAAGTAACATTATTGCATTCCTGGGTAATACAAGAGATGGAAATGTCTCCATGGGAAGTTCAGGATAGTTTTCTTGAAATTGCCTTTTCACATGAATAAGACATTTAACTTAATTACAGTGTATGGGATAAGTCTCTGCAGTTTTGGTATGCTAATGAGGTGAATTTTTGACCCAAATATGGTGTAAGCTCTCGTAAGCGACCACCTCCTGTAAGCGACCACCTACATGTAAGCATGACATTTTGGGCGGTTGCTTAGTTGGGAAGTTTGACTGTATAACACATTGTTAAGGGAAACCTTATGTTGTGAAACTGTTCACAGTTTTTCATTTGGTGACTTTGACTAGGTTGATCTACTTGTACATGAGCTTAATCAACATGAGATCTGTGAACCACAAGGAGCTGATGAGACGCAACCGCTCTTGGGAGGTGAGCCAAGACTGGGTGCTACAGCAGCAACAACTCAACTGGGGTATGTTTTCAAGTTTCACCTCTTTTAGAAGTGACCCAAATTCCTTGAATGCTAATCAGAGACTGACATGAGTGATTGATTATTCTCAGACTTGAAAGTTACAATCATAATTATTGTTATGTGCACTTGCAAATTGGAAAAAAGGGTGTCAGAGAAAACTTTGCACCAGTCAAGCACTTTATTTCAGAAAAGAATCAAACACATTTGCATTCACATTTAGCAATGTGTTGTTGACTGACATTACATGGCAAGTTTTATTTGTATTTTAGTTTGTCATCTTTTTGTGTTAGAACGCATTTCTAATTGCATAATGCATAAAAATTCAAGATCTGTGAATCTATCTAACTATCTATCTATCTATCTATCTATCTATCGGGGGACACCAGTTTGTCCCACCAAACAAATTCTTCAGGGGCAAATGATGTCATGTCCATGTTCGTCCATGTGCTTTCTTTCGACTGTTGCACAATATTGTGGACCAGTTTCGAGTGTCGAGGAAGCTTATTGTAGACTGTAGTGGATACTGAAGTTGTTTAAAGTTCGAAGTCAGTGTTTATGGCATTTAAAAACCTTGTAGACATGTCGTCACGAAATGTGTACGACTGTTTGAGGCAGCTTAGTGAAGACTGTAGCAGATAAGTTGTTTATTTAAGTTTGAAGTCAGAGTTAATGGCATTTAAAAACCTTGCAGACATGTCTTCACAAAATGTGTACGACTTTTCGTACAAACAGAAAGCTGTAGTTTGGCTGCGTGTTGTGTACCCTCTTCTCTTTGCCTGAAACCAATGCTGCTTTCTGCTGAGTAAATCAAAGGAGGAAATGAGTTTCACTTCACTGCCTAGATTTCTGTGCGTAAACTATGTAACGTAAACCCAATGAAAGTGTTTACATAGGATATGAGTTCAACTCCCACGGGGTTACTTTGGTACACGAACATGTCATCCGTTTCATTGTGTCAGAAGTGAAAATGTCCTGAAGCTGTTACCCCAAAGCCAAGGCGATTCAAAGTCGTGTTCGTAAACAAAATAATTGTCCTAGTTTTGGTACTAAGAGCACGTCGTCTTGCATACCGACGGAACAAACATGGTTGGTGTCGATTTAGACGGTCAGTATAAAACATGCACTGTGGACTGCGGACTGCAGACTACGGACTACAGACTGGGTATAAAACACAGATTTATGTATAATATTACACAATACATGTATAAACGAGAACAAATCCTCTCGTCTGCACGTGCTTTGCGATCAATTCATTTGTTTTTGCCCTTGCTGAAGGGAGACCAATTTCACGCCTACCTAACAGCTCAGGCACAAAATGCTTTCCCTATAATTTTTGTTTTTTTAACATACCAAGCCTACCAAAACTCAAATGCACTCTTTAATCTATGATTACTACTAGTATTATATATATCTGTAGAATTACTTAGTAACAGTCTTTTCTGCATAATATACATATACCTCATAGATTTGTGGCAGGAGTGATTGTTCGTGAAAGAGTGCCCTCATTTGAGCGTCTACTGTGGCGTGCCTGCCGTGGTAATGTGTTCTTAAAGCAGGCGGAGATTGAGACTCCACTTGAAGACCCAAGCACTGGTGACCAAGTCAATAAGTGCGTCTTCATTATTTTCTTTCAAGGAGATCAGCTCAAAAGCAGGGTGGAGAAGATTTGTGAGGGGTAAGAAAGATTTGCATTGAAGTTTTGTTTGCCTCAATGTTGGTACATGTACATGTTGTATCTGTGGGTTACTTTGACTTTAAGATTTGGATTTTAGATTTTGGTTTTGATTTCTGAGTGAATGCTTTCCTGCAATCAGTTGGAAAAATTATTCCAGGTTTGATTCATGGACAAATACAATGTATTTTCGAGGTTTGGTTTCTGAGATCATGTTTTATGTTTTGTTAATTCTATAGCTTTACATTGACCTTTACATTCCAAAAACTCACTGCCCATGATCAAGTGTCATCCTCAAATAAGAGTTGCAAATGACAGCTGAACACTGCACTCAACAGAGCACAACAACAGTAAAACTACAACTGTAAACAACAATGTGTAAATATTAAAAATAACTTGAGCTCTAAACTGACTCNCAGTAAAAAACACTTTTGTTTGGGCATTTATAATTTAAGAATAAATCCCAAAATTTTAACAGAGATGATACCAAAACACTATGTAATCATTGCTTATTACATGTAATAAGTTTGAGACGACTAGGTGTGAAAGCGAATGCAAAAACAGCATTCAAAACATAACACTTGCATGCGCAACGCCATAAATGATTACCCTATGGAGCCACCTTAATGAGAAGTTGGACATGAAAATAGTCAACCAAATAGATTTAATATGACAAAATTCTAACTAGTGTACAATGTAGATGCATGCACCTCGGGGATATGTCTTGCTGATTATTAGAGAGAGCAATATTAATTTGACACCATGTGCCACATGCTACATGTTGACTGCAAATGGCATGGTCAATTTCCAGGAAAAGAGGACAATTTCCTTTGCAAATGTTGTGACATTTATTCTTAATTGTTTTCTTATTTACGTTTTCAACCACTCAGATTTGTGACAGGGGTGATTGCTCGTGAAAGAGTGCCCTCATTTGAGCGTCTTCTGTGGCGTGCCTGCCGTGGTAATGTGTTCTTTAAGCAGGCAGAGATTGAGACTCCACTTGAAGACCCAAGAACTGGTGACCAAGTCAATAAGTGCGTCTTCATTATCTTCTTCCAAGGAGATCAGCTCAAAAGCAGAGTGAAGAAGATTTGTGAGGGGTGAGGAAGTTTTGTATTTCACTAGAAAGATTTTTTTGTCTGCTCTCGCCTGGGGGATTACGCTCTATTTTGAGTGCGTGTTTATGTCAGCATGAACACCCATTTGGTTAGATCACTGTAAAATAATCTTAGGTGAGCGAAGCCTTCTCCCACAATCCTGTCCAAAGTTAAATTGTGGGACTTGGTGTCATGTATTATATCCAAGCTTTACTAATATGTCTCCCAACTGGGCTTTAACCCAGAATTTTAAAAGTGCCTGTCCAAAGTGTGCTATAGGGCCTGCTCAAATGAGCAATGTACAAGGCAACGTATTAAAAATAAAACAATTTTCTTTGGAATGTTGCCATCCACAGAATGCCTGGACACCCATCTGGCTAAAAGCCTGCTCCCAACTTGTGTTTGTTAAATTTGCAGTTGCTGTTTGCAGTGTTTTTAGTTGAACTCATCACCAATAGCACCTGTGAAGGGTGTCACTTGAAAACTGTGTTACAGTAATACAATAGTTAATGCTCTACAATTGGCCAGTCAGAGTGTGTGTTATTTTGGCCACAAATACAAGCCATGTAATAAAGAGCTGTAATACGATGTATTCAAGGCCTGCTGGACATCTGCAGCTAGTTGCACCTATGCAATGACATGCAGTCGTTGATGAAAAAGTTATCAAAAACCTTGGCTTGTGTTTCTCTTTTCAGATTCCGAGCTACACTCTACCCCTGTCCAGACACTGCTGCAGAAAGGCGGGAAATGGCCATTGGAGTAAATACAAGGATTGAAGATCTTCAAACAGTGAGCACCTTGTTCTATTTGTACAGAAGAAAATTGTTACAACTACAGAGTTCTTGTGTATGCCAGTCCTACTAGTAGATTATATTTCAGTGATGATCAGTGTTCTCCTGATCTTCAACTGAAATGAACTGATTTGATGTTCAGCTGTATTATGTATATTTAACATTGTGTCCTGTAACATTTTCTTAGGTGTTGAATGAAACACGTGATCATCGTCATCGCCTGTTGGTGACTGTAGCCAAGAACATTAACCAGTGGTTCATCAAGGTATATCTACACAACATTGTGACAATTATATTGGCAATCGGTATTTAAAACAATACAGAGTTGTTCAAGAATCAAAAGAAAGCGGTGGAAAATGTTCTAACAAATAGCTTCTTTAAGCAGAAATCCTCATTTGAAGAAGACACCATCATTACCTAAATTAGATCCCTTTCCTAAGGAATTGATTAGCCTTCTAGATGGTATTTCTCTTATACTACTAAGGAGATTCCTCATGGAAACCCAAGTGGACACATTCCTCATCCTTTGTGCACTCCTCTAATCTGTAGGGCACTCCTCCCTTAAATCCACTCTACCTTGTGGTGGATTCTTCTTCTAAGTTTATGCCCTGTCCACACACAAACACTGCATTTTTATCATGTAATCTGAAAGATGAAACTTATTCCAATCTCCGATTTTCATTTTAGGTCAAGAAGATCAAGGCCATTTATCACACCATGAACATGTTCAACCTGGATGTGACTCAGAAATGTCTTATTGCTGAGTGTTGGTGTCCAGTTAGTGACTTGGATAGGATTCAGCAGGCACTGCGGCGTGGCACGGAGCGCAGTGGAGCTGCTATACCATCCATTCTGAATCGCATGGCTACTCGTCAGGAGCCACCAACTTTTAACAGGACAAACAAGTTTACTCAGGGGTTTCAAGCCATTGTAGATGCCTATGGAGTGTCTAACTATCAAGAGGTTAATCCAGGTAAGAATTTGTCTGTTATTGTGAAAGTGGCCAAGTATCGTCAAAAATTAATGTGTATGGTAGACATGCCTCAATAGAAGCTTGAACTTAGGCTGTGGTACTTACCAGCATGAGGGCATCTCTCAGAACTTCTGAACACATTTCCCTAGAAGACTTTAGGACAGTACTGTTTGGTGCAGTGGCAATACTATTTTGATGTGGTTTTTGTTAAATGGCTGGCCCAACCAGATGTTTTTACAGGAAACCCTAGTTAGATTTGTTTCTTTCTGTTCCAGCTCTGTTTACCATCATCACATTTCCGTTCCTCTTTGCGGTAATGTTTGGAGACTGTGGCCATGGCTTGATCATGTTCCTATTTGCTTTGTGGCTGGTGCTGAATGAAAAGAAACTGCAAAACTACAAAGAGGGTGGAGAGGTAAAAATCAATTTAGTGAAGATAGTGTTGTCAAAGTTGATGTTGTTTGGAGGTTGAAAGTTCCAGTTTGTGCTTGAAAATATGAGTGCTTTCCCTTTGACCAAAAATTCTTGTTTGCATTTCTGGAAATTTCCAGTTGCAAGTGGAACAGTAGAGGTTTACTTAAATTTTCCAAAAATTTCTGATCAGGAATTTCCATTCCATATGATGCTCCTCCTAGAATTTCTGGGAGTTTTGGTTGAGTAAAATCCAATTTTGGATTTTCCAGACACTTTCCAAGGAATTTCCATACCATTTGCCTCTGTTTCAAATGTTCCAGATGTTTTGGTTGAATGGAAAGCCCCTATTTTGCAGCCTTGTCTAAATGTGCTAGCTGTGGGCAATTTTGTTTCCTTTGTTAAGTCATTAAGCACCTTCATTATAGAGTGGAGATCACTCATTTAATATCTTGACTACATGTAGGTACATTACCGATCAAAAGAAACCTAACAGGGAACGCTTGACTAAACGCGTTCTGTTTCCGTTCCACACGCGTTCCCGTTCCCGTTCTGTATCCGTTCTGTATCCGTTCCATTCCCATTCTGTATCTGTTCTTTATCCGTTCTGTNCCGTTCTGTATCCGTTCCGTTCCCGTTCGCAAACGCGTTCCCTGTTAGGTTTCTTCTGATCGGTACTGTAGAAATATATGTACGTCTCTGACCTTTCAGTTTAATACCTTCTACTCCTCTGACTTCTGTTATCTTGTCTACAGCCTACAAAACAATTTAATTTTCTCTTTCAGATGTTTGAGACCATTTTTGATGGTCGCTATATTGTCTTGTTGATGGGACTATTCGCTGTCTATACTGGCCTTATATACAATGACTGCTTTTCCAAGTCGTTCAATATCTTTGGCACTGCATGGGATCTTAGTGTAGATTGGGATGGCATCAGGTATGTAAAGAATGTCTGATAGTTAACTGTTTATAGCAGATCTATATGGGGCTGTCACAAAGTTTTGAAGTAGCTGGCTTCTTGTTGATTGTTGGTGTTACTGCTGGGCTTTTGAATAATCCAGCTGGGTTTCCTGTGCAACAGTATTTGGTCTTGAGCGGAGACCATGAGGGTCACTGAGTTCAAACCTCAGTTCAATCGTTTTTTTTGTTTGTTTGTTTTAATTTTTCTCAATTTGTATCCAGTGGCAGTTTTAGTCGCATTTTTACCAAGGTCTACCTTTGTGATGTTTTATGGAACTGTGAGTTTTCTCACTGCGGGACAAGTGGAATAAAAAAGGAAATTTACTGTAGCTTTTTATGGTGCGTCTCCATAAATTTATGGTAGTTTCCAAAAAGTGGTGAAAATTTTGTGCAGAAGACTCTGTAAAACATACTTCTAGAGCAGAGGGTTACTTCGCTACACATAAAAGTTTTGAAGAATACTTTTAATTACCAATTGATAACTGAGCAATTTTTTTAGTCTTTTGAATAATATTGTTGTTCAATGTTGTTGTTTCAGCAAATCGACCCTTCGCTCGTATGGTAATACATCCAAAGACATCATGCTTGACCCGAAGGAGACCTACCGTGGTGTACCGTACTTCTTTGGTATTGATCCAGTAAGTGCACACGTTAACAGGAGCTCTCAGGAGCCACGTTGTTACAGTCTTTAGAAGTAGAATTCGAATTTGGCTAGTATGTGTTTTATTTCTTCTAGCCTTTTTGGTTGGTGTAAAACTGCTTTTCATATATTGTTAATTGTGATTGAAATCAATCGTGGTATAGGTTAAATTGCGACTATACTATAATGTTGCTGATGTATGTGCAAAAAGTTATCACATGTGTAACATGTTGTTAATATCTGAGGAAAACATTAAAGAAAAACAACAACAACAAAAATAGTTTAAAATTGCAAATACAAGAGCTGAACACAGTGGGAATGACCAAAAAGATAGGTATCTCAAATTTATTTTATTTAACCTCTTCATTAGCAACAGTTAGAGTTTNGCTGCAAGGCGAGAGTCATGTTTCGCGTGGTCAAATTCGGTCGTTATGTAATAGTACATGCCATATGTCATGTTAGCCTAAACGTTGGCATAAAAAGGAAAAAAAGGATAACATTGAGAGCTTGGGCCGCCTGTGTTCCTTTTAATTTTTAATCACTGGGAACACTGTGAATTGAAAATTTTTCAGTCATTGTTTTAAACATTCTGTTTCCTTCAATTCCAGATATGGCAAGTTACTGTGAACAAGCTCACATTCACCAACTCTTTCAAAATGAAGCTTTCTATTGTGTTTGGTGTTATACACATGATGTTTGGTGTTTGCCTGAGTTTCTTCAATCACAGGTAAATATGCTGATTTGGCACGTGGTAGACAGACCACATACCATGTATAGTGACTTATTTCCACTTTGATTTCCATAACATTTAAGTGACAAGAAATTTTGCAACTAACCCTGGTTGAGCTGTGGTAGAAGTGGTTGCCTTGTGGTTAGTGCAGTTGACTTCAAATCAAGCGGTCTGAGTTTGAGCCTGGCCAGGGTCATTGGATTATGTTCTAGAGGAAGCACACGTAACTTTCACACTGCACTGTGATTGGCTACCCAAGCAGGCATGATGGTACCATCTTGCCCGCTCGGGACTACTGCTGGGTCCCGCAAAAAAATTTCCCTGAAAGCCATATAATAAATCCTTTATTGACCAAGCTCGTTCACTCAAGATGGCTAGATATTGGCCTGGTTCTCTTTTTGCGAGTTCATGAACCTCGACTTCGTCTTGGTCCATAAACACACAAAAAGAGAACTTGGACAAAAACCAGTCANAGAGTTTTGAATCAAGACTCCGAAATAATAATTGTTGAAATACAAGTCTTTCAAGTCTTTTGTATTGCAGTAAGAGATTTTTATTAATGAGGCGTCTAATTTGACCTGGACTAGTGTGCATTTCCTCAGTTATTAATCTGTCCTAAAGTGTTTTTAGTTGTTTTAATAAGTATTATTTTGAGCTTGGCCAAATGATTTTTAGCATTGCAGGGCTCTAAATTGCGACCACTAAAGTCGCATTTGCGAGTTAACTTTACTTATTTGCGACTAGAAAAATGAGAGTAGTCGCAAATTTGCGACTAGGTTTTGTCTTGACTGGCACAAATTAATAGGGCTAGCAGTAATCTCAAAGGAAAAGGAACATTATTGTGGATGAAAGAATTTATTTGAATACTTGTAATAAAACAAACCCACAATTCTTTGATCGCCAACTTGATCGCCATGTTTGATTATTCTAAGGCACACTGAAGTAAATGACTCTCTCTCTTGAAAACTTCAAAACGGCTACCCCTGTTTGAAATTGCCCTATAATGCATGGCAAACCCTTGAGCAATTGAGTATGTCATGTATGTGTATGGATTGTGTCTCTTCTGTTTGATTTTGCGACTAAAAATTTACATCTAGCGACTATTTTTTACCACTTAGTTGCCAATTGGCGACTTAGGGATTTTGTTGATTTTGAGCCCTGCATTGGAATTGACCTTTGCTATCTGTTTTGTTTCATTTTAGCAAGCCAGTTTGCTGTTGGCACTCATCAACATGTTCCTTAAGTTTGGAAAAAAAATCACGGGCTCTGACTTGCTTTATAAGGGACAGGTAGGCAGTATATTCATTCTTTTCAGGGCTCAACACTAACACATTTTTCTTCATTAACATTTTTCTTCATTAACGACTTTGCGCATAGAAGACATCATGCTAGACACGATTTTACTAGAAAAACTTAAAGAGCTTGTGAAACGTAGTAAGTGGTGAAATTTTTTGCTCTTTGGGTGTAATATTCGAGGAGAAATTGGCTTTAAAAACATCAAAATTTCTGTGTGGCAACAGCGCTAATGAGCTCATACATTTGTTGTAAAATTTTGAGCTTTTAAACCCTTGTTGCACAAAAGTATTCAATACATCGTGCTCAAATTCCTTGGGACAGTTAATCGTGCTGTGCCCTTTCAATATTCAGTATTACTCTCTTTGTAGCTCCATCAGAAACTGTATTGCTTATGGTAATGAGGCAAATATTGTAAACAAAGATTCTCCTGTAGATGGTACTATTAGTGATGAAACTTGAACATTAAAGTCATAGGGCCATATCTGATAGATAAAAGTCCAAACAGAGCCCCAAAATATCAGGAGAGTGTAAATGAGATCATAAAATCAATGTGGTCTGAACACTTAACTCTGCAGAGAATAAAGTATCACTTTCATCAATTTCTTCTAACATGCAACAGCTTCCAAGCTTAATTTTTATAAATATCTGTTGGTAAACAGGACGTTGTCCAGCCGATAATGGTAGTGATAGCAGTGTTGTGTGTGCCCTGGATGCTGCTGATGAAGCCATTCTACCTACGACACAAACACAAGGCTGCTGAAGACGAAGTAAGTCAAAGATTTGTTGGGTTGCTAATGCTGTTGTCTTTCCTACCATCTACTTGTATTCCTTCCCCTATGTAGTTCCGGAATGAACACTGGGTTTTCATGGCAGAGTTGAAATTACATAAACCCCTTGACCATTTGTTTTATGTCTAGTGTAATGAGCTTTCGATGTTATGGCGAGATGTGTATGGCTGTGAAAATAAAGAAGATATAAATTGTCTTTGTTCAAAGTGGTATGATTAGAGATTTAGCTCCATAAATATTTTGCTTAATACTGACTGGCAGCACCTTTAGGGTTTTCAGAGATTGCGGTCAAACACGCCCAGTCCTCCGCCAGTGACAGTGCTGGTTGGCGAGCCTGGACACAATTCTCACGAAGTGGTCCATCATGATGGCCAAGCACAGGGTGAACCATATGACGATGTTCATGAAGAGGTTAGGCTGCTGTTAGTTCTGTTATTATTCAACCAGGCTTAGTGTGATAAGATTTAAAAAGCACTTGTGTTCTAATTTTCTCTGCTCAAACGTAAATTATTTTCCACTTAAATACTGCAAATGTATCACCACAACAGAATCTCTGGACACACGCCTTGGGGCTTGGAACTACTTAATAAGCAATAAACAAGTGCTAATGAGCTGAATTAGCCACATAGCAGCAGAAAATATATTTTTACTCTGTTTAATTTTAGAGAGACTCTTTAGAAAAATGTCTTAATCAGGAAAAAACAAAAACAAAAAGATACAACTGTGACTCTGCCAAGATAAAACATTAAAACATCTCACTATTTGAAATTTAAAATTTAAGAGGAAAACAGGGTGCTTTAAATTTGTGGGACTCATTGGAATGCAGTAGCAAAATGGTTAAAATGTTGGACTCTGGAATGACCATGTTCAATTGTTGGCCAGGGTCTCTGAGGTGTGTTTTAGGGCAATACACTGGGATAATCCCATAGTGCCACTTTGTACTTAGATGTATGAGTTGGTACCAGTGAACTGATAGGGGAACCTGACATGAATTGCAGAGAGATTTACCTACGATGGACTTGCATTCTTACATAGTTATAGCATTGGACTACATCAAAGCA